CTTCCGTCTAGGCAGATAAAGAAACAGTCTATTTTCAAATTAAGGAGGCACAATTTTAATAAACATGTATAAGAGGAATTGAAGGTCAGACCGTCTACTTTCAGGAACACTTTGAAACATCTTCCTAGCTTCTACGGTCGTGCAGTTATGCCCCCTTAAGTTAGAGGCCTACACGGGCCTAAACAGCCTTGCCTACCATAGCAAATTCAAGAGATCACTGTAGGCCTTTCGTAAGGGTCACAGTCATAAAACTTGGCAGACTTGTTCCTGAGCTGATCTAGTTTATGCCCGCCAAAGGTCAGACGTGTAGGTCACACGGTTCGGCCGTGACGCCCCCTAATGTTAGTTTGAGGCCTAGTAAGACGGGAAAACACTTAGTACTTCCGACATTGGTAAGTTAGTGAGATGATACCAGACACCACACATCACGGTTCCGAAATCACTAAGTTTGTTAGATGATACCTGAAAAGTCACATAACAATTCCGAATCTACTAAGTTAGTAAGATGGTACCAGAAAAGTCACATAACAATTCCTAATCTACTAAGTTAGTAAGATGGTACCAGAAAACACACATCACAATGCCGTAATTGCTAAGTTAGTAATATGATACCAGAAAAGTCACATCGCAATTCCTAAAGTGCTAAGTTTGTAAGATGACACCAGAAAAGTCACATAACAATACCTGAACCGCTAAGTTAGTAAGATGAAACCAGAAATGTGACATAACAATACCTGAACCGCTAAATTAGTGAGATGATACCAGAAAAGTCACATAACAATACCTGAACTGCTACGTTAGTTAGACGATACCAGAAATGTGACATAACAATACCTGAACTGCTAAGTTAGTAAGATGATACCAGAAATGTCACATAACAATACCTGAACCGCTAAGTTAGTAAGATGATACCAGAATAGTCACGTCACAGTACCGGAATTGCTAGATTAGTAAGATGATACCAGAAATGTCACGTCGCAGTTCCGGGATCGCTAAGTTAGTCAGATGATACCAGAAATGTCACATAACAATACCTGAACCGCTAAGTTAGTGAGATGATTCCAGAAAAGTCACATAACAATACCTGAACCGCTAAGTTAGTCAGATGATACCAGAAATGGCACATAACAATACCTGAACCGATTAGTTAGTCAGATGATACCAGAAATGTCACATAACAATTCCTAATCTGCTACGTTAGTAAGATGATACCAGAAACCACACATCGCACTTCCGAAATTGCTAAGTCCAGAAAGTTAGTGTAATGAAACATATCTGTCAATGATTTATTCATGATATGCAAATATATTCATAGACTTTGGTCATGTGAGTCGGTGGTTCAGTATAAAAGTCTCTGTAATATTTTACGAGCTCACAAACACATTGGAAAGCTGTTTAGACGTGCATCTGGCAAGCATAACTTTTAGAAGCATTATTTGGTAATGTAAAACCTTTCTTTAGTAGCATTTAGTCTTCTACAATAAGTTTTAAGCCATCTCACTGT